GTCTAGATCTAGGTAGCTTAATTTTTGTTGTGTTATTTTTTACAGCCGATGATAATATGTAGACGAATTCATGAGCTGCTATGTCTGCATTACAAGTAGGAGATATGAATGAAAAATCTACTGCTTCAACTGATTTTATGGCAGACTCCGGTCCAGCCCGTATATCGCCATGCGAACCCTTCTTGAACTCGCTGCGAGAGAGCGTCTAAGATACGCTCGGGGGGCTTCTATTTTGGAGACTTCGGTCTACATGGACAACATTTGTACGGGCGCCTCCACTGTCGGGGAGGCTCTTGTATTGCGAGACGAATTGATTGCCATCCTGAAGTCCAGAGGTTATGAGTGGCGCAAATGGTTGTCGAACTCCCCTCATATTTTGAAGGACCTCCCAGGAGAGGATCAACAAGACCCTCATCTGTTCGAGCACCCTGAAAATCCTAATTTGTTGACTGTGCTGGGCATTCAATATCAGCCTGTTCAGGACACCTTCACGTATCGAGTAAAACTTGACCTCCCCCTCCCAAAGCATGGACCAAGCGCTCCGTGCTGTCTACCGTAGCTCGCACCTTCGATCCTAATGGATGGATCACCCCGGTCATCTTTTCGGCTAAATGCTTTCTTCAGAAGCTCTGGATGTCCGGGTTGGGTTGGGACGAGCCTGTTAGCGGAGCCCTCTTGCGAGAGTGGCTCGCCATGGTCTCCTCCCTTCCTGACATCAACTGGGTCTCCATGCCAAGGTGCTTCCTCCCTCCAGGGAAATGCAGGGCTACCCTACATGGGTTTTGCGACGCCTCTGAGAAAGGCTATGCGACTGTCGTATATCTGCGGACTGTGAGTTCTTCTGGTCATACTGCAGTCCATCTTGTACTCGCTAAAAGCAAGGTTGCTCCCATTAGGTCCCGCTTAACTATCCCTAAATTGGAACTTTCTCGTTCACTCGTGCTTGAAGCCTGTAATCGACATTACGGACGTCTACGCATGGTCGGACAGTGAGGTAGTACTTTGTTGGCTCAGAGCTGCACCTCACAATCTTGAGGCGAACCGCGTGTCTCAGTCATTCTGGCCCCAGGGTAATTACTCCGAACCGATTTAATTGCCTGGCCTACGAGCCCGAGTAGGAGTGGGCAAGGATAAGCCCACTCGGGATCTCTCTCTTCTGGAACGGTACAGCTCTCTCGATTAGCTCTTAGGAGTGACTGCTTGGTTGCGCCGATTTGTCTGCAATTCGAGAGACCCGTACAACCGAATCTCTGATTTCGTTTTGTCCCCTAGCGAGCGTCGTGAAGCTTTGATGCATTGGACCCGTATGGTCCAAGCGGAGCATTTAGAGCCCGTGATTGAAAACTTGAAGCGTGGCTCCGTTGACACGGTCCGGAGTCCGGCTCTGGCCCGTCTGAACCTCTTTCTGGACGACGCTGGGATGCTGCGCGTTGGTGGACGTTTGAGAAATTCCCAACTGCCGTACGGGTCTCGACACCCATTACTGCTCCCCAAGGACGGCGCCTTTGTCCGGTTGCTGGTAACCCATCATCATATTAAGGACTGGGTGTAACGCTCTTTCGGCTATTCTGCAGCGGGAGTTTTGAATTTTGGCTGGCTGACGCACCATTCGGAGCGTCATCTTTAAGTGCATATCTTGTTATAAACTGAAGGCCACCATATCGCAGCCTATGATGGGTGACTTGCCACCCGACCACGTCAGGGCCATCAGACCATTCGTTGAAGTCGGAACAGACTTTGCTGGCCCCTTCCTTGTCAAGTCCTCTAACCTTCGTAACGCGCGTTCACATAAGGCCTATCTTTGCGTCTTCGTGTGCCTCTCCACTAAGGCCGTTCACTTAGAACTTGTAAGTGCCCTCAGCACGGAAGCCTTCTTGGCCACGCTCGGCCGTTTCGTATCGCGGCGCGGTTTGCCAGACCTGATCCGATCTGATTGCAGAACGAATTATAAGGGCACAGATAAATATTTGAAAGAGGTCGTCGAATTTCTGTCCAGCCACCGGACTTATTTAGGTAAGGCGATGTCAAAAAGGGGCATCCAGTGGAAATTTGACCCTCCGGTTTGTTCCCACTGGGGCGGTATTTTTGAGGCGGTGGTTAAGGTTGCAAAAACGCATCTCCGTCGCGTTATTGGCGAAACTATTTTGACATTTGAGGAGCTTGCCACTGTATTCTGTAAAATTGAGGCAGTACTCAAATCTCAGCCCCTCTGTCCCCTCTCGTCCGATCCGAATGATTTGGAGATTCTAACCCCGGGCCACTTCCTGATTGGCCAGCCGCTTAACGCTCTACCCGAGTACCCCTTCAGGGAAACGAACTCTTCGCGGTCGAGCAGGTTTGACCTGCTGCAACAGATGACTCAGAGTTTTTGGCACCGATGGTCTCTAGAGAACCTACATCTTTTGCAGCAGCGCACTATGTGGTCTGACAAGACGGATCCTCCTCAGGTTGGAGACCTCGTGTTGGTTAAAGAACCCAACGCTCTGCCTTTGTATTGGCGCCGTGGGCGCATTGTTAAGTTGTCGTATGGATCGGATGGGGTGCCTAGGGTGGCCGAGGTTTTGGTCGGAGATTCGGTCTTGCAACGTGCCATCGAGACCTTGTCCCGTTTGCCAATCTACTCGCGGACATAATTCCTTATGTCCGGGGCAAGGGGTTTGCTTAGGCAAAATATTAACCATTTGAAAATTGAATTATTAACGCACGCTCGAAGCGCCTAGCATCGTATCTAGGTTACACCGCCCCTCGCCCGGCACATTCCATTCGAGCGGTTTCGACTGGACTCGTCGAGGCAATTCATTATAAAAATCGGTCGATCGTAGCGGAAGTTTTTGTTTTTTCTGTTAAATTTGCCGCGTCACGAACGGAGGTGAACTTTATCCGTCTGTCGTCGGACGCACCACGTGTTGGTTCTTGACTGTGATCAACGGATTTAGTTCCTTTTTTGTGAAGCTAGTTGAATGTTATAGACTGACCTAGTGCCTTGAATAGGGGAATTGCCACCGGGGACGCCGCAGGAGAATACCGCCTCCGGGGAAGCATCGTGCCATCTGGTTCAGGCCACCTACACACAAACACTCACATACCACTCACATGCACTACACCTTCAGCCTGACAGATCCAGGTCATCAGTCTCCACTCCCGAAGCCGGTAAGTACCGTATTAGTTAAATACTCTCTATTCGGCTAGCCTTCCCTTTAAAGCTTAGTAGGATAGAACATTCCACAAGGCCATTCGGCCCGTCCTTAATTGTTCAACGAGCCTACAGCTCTGGGCCCCTGTGGGATCGTACTTTGTCGGGACAGTTAGGGGCGTGTCCACCCTTTGTGGTCTTACTAAAAGGTCCCAAATGGTCAATATGGTTTGTGTCCATAGGTAAATCAGGCTTAGGAATAGGATGCAACTCACCTGACGATTTCCCGTAGTTTCCCTTCCCATAAGCACATTTTAAGCATGAATTGACATATTTTTTTTATAAAGCGTGTCATCTTTGGGAACCAATAATCCGATTTAATGATTTCCTCACATCGTTTTAGCCCTACATGTCCTATGTTATCATGAAATCTTTGCATGAATTTCCATCTAGCAAACGAGGGTACTACAAGTTTATCACCATTGAGAGTGACTCGGTATAACCGGATGTCCTTTATTTTATAGTTATGAATAATATCACTACTCGCATTGCCTTCCGTCAACTGTAGAATTATGTATTTTAATTTATTATCTTGGAGCTGTATAGATAAAAACCAGTCTTCGCTTGAAATTTAATTTATATTTACAATATAATTCCGTTGATTAGAGCTATTAGAACAAGAAGAAGTAAAACATTTTTGAGCATTTTGACTTAGCGCATCAACATGTTTCATACGATTACCAGGTCTATATTCTATTTGAATATCATATTCTTGGATAGATAGCCACCAACGAGCAACCCTAGGAACTAGATCTTATTTTAACAACGTATAGCGTACAGCGGAACAGTCAGTGACTATTTTAATAGGCTTACCATAAACATAAACACGAAAATGTTTTAAAGACTCTACTACTGCCAATATTTCTAGTTCGTAACTGTGATACATTGAATCTTCATGTGACGTCACTCTACTAAAATAAGAAACTGGCTTTAGATCGCCACTGTATTTAAGCTGTAACAAAATACTACCTATTCCAAGCTTACTCGCATCTGTATGTATTTCACATGAAAAATTAGGATCGAACAGGGCTAGAACTGGCCTAGAACATAATTTTTCTTTCAATGTATTAAAATTTTGCGCCTGAATATCAGTCTAACACCAAACGGAATTCTTTTTGGTTAAGTCAGTAAGCGGTTTTGCTAAAATAGCGAACTGAAATATGTATTTCCTAAAATAGCTACACAATTCCAAAACTTGCCGAAGCTCGTATAAATTTGTGGGTACAGGAAATTTTTCTACTGCTTGTATTTTATAGTTACCGGGCCTTATGCCCTCTACACTTATCTCATGTCCTAAAAATGATACTTCAGACTTTAAAAACGAACATTTCTTTATATTAAGCTTAAGATCGCATCTTCGCAGTTGAACAAAAACTTTTTGTAATAACTGTAATCCGGCATCTTCTGTGACTGTAGATAAAGTAGTAGAAGAAGAAAAGTAGTAGAAGTAAAAAAGTAAGTAAAAAAAAAGTAGTAGAAAAGTAGTAGAAGTATAGAGAAAGTATGTCATCCATGAACGCAACTATTTCATCATTTCCTACTAGATTTACTAGTTCCTGTATAACGCGCATAAAAACTGATGGAGCATTAGCAAGTCCAAACGGAACTCTTAAATATTCATACAATCCATCAGGTGTAACAAACGCTGTCTTACGTACAGATTCATCATCAATTTTGATGTGATAATATCCAGAATATAAGTCCAAATTTGTAAAGAATCGTTTTCCTGATAATCATGCTAATGTGTCATCTATATGAGGTAAAGGAAATCTTTCCTTAACCGTTATTGCATTAAAATCCCTATAATCTACGCATAACCGATAGTCACCATTTTTTTTCGCACAAGGATAATAGGCGAAGCATATTCTGAGTTAGATTCCCTTATAATATTACCTTCAAGCAACTCTTTTATTTTTTTAGCTACAATATCCCTTTCCGTATAAGCTAACCTATAAGGCTTTCTATTTATTGGTTTATCTGTAGTTAAATTTATGTGCATCACTCCCAAACTAGTGAGGCCTATTTCAGCTGCAGAGCTAGCAAAACAGTCACCATAATCACGAAGTAAACAAAATAATCTTTTTTTGAAGCAATCCTCTAAACAACCAACATTTATTTCGGAATATTTAATACCGCCCACAATGTCACTTTCCTCCGTCACCTCTGATACGTTTCTCAACGAAAATATTTTTGAACTCACCTCAGTCATCTCCTCACACCTCTCCGCTCGTGTCACAACCTCTCCTTTTTTCCAAATAAATGGCTCTACACCAACATTGACGACCTTCAAATAACCGGTACCATTCCGAAGAACCATACTAGCGATTGCATAGTCTACCTTACCCATACTATGCTGCCTTGGTTTAGTACAAACATTTCCCTCATTTACACCTACCAATACTTTAACTAGCGTATCTCCTACTGGCACCTCTGTATCCTCAAATACTCTAACTCTAAATCGGCTGGCTTCTTCGACAATATCTAATGCACTTAGGATTATCTCAGGACATGATGTCATAGATAACTTTACTCCATTCTTTGTTACGTTAAGCTCTCTTCCTTCGTTCTTAATAATAGTGTTCGCGCCCAAACGCTGGTTCAAGATTTGACACCGGAGGGCACTCGGCTCGATGCGGCGCGTTCATAACCGGTTAGACGAGTGGGCGGTTGGGGGAGTTAGTTTCTACCGGCCGCTGGGTCGAGTCGGCAGTAGCTCGCTGGCAGCGGTGCGGATAATCCACGTATTTCGGTTATCGCTGCAAAATTTTCGCGCGACCGGAGTGCGATCTAGATTGTTACATTTAGTGCGTGTAACTTCGTTACGTAATTGTGATTTCGTTAATACTACCTCCGTTTAGTTTGTCTGGGTTTTTGGTTCTTGAAAGGAGGCTTGTATTGTATTTGACTGATTAAAGTAAAAGCTTTTAGAAAAATTTTTACTTCGCAAATATCCGCGTTATAAAATAAAATGATGTATCTTACCTAGTATGACGAGCACCTCCCGCCCTCCCTCAATTGCGTGCACTATCCCCGTCACCACTAATCCCAGCACCGCTACTCCCAACACCACTACACTAGGCAAGACACACCACTGACGATAATACGACACGTGTTTCGTCTCTACACGAGGCATCCTCAGGTGATATAGACTCTACGGTGGCTCACCGCTAAGTGAGCGGCGAGCCAAAACAAGTGCCTTTTATACAGATATACGGACGCTTTCAAATAAATTAAGAATTTAATTAATAGAATTAGGCGTTACTTTGCGGAAATCCATTATATAAAAGCTTTTACAAAAATTTACTTCGCAAATTTCCGCGTTATAAAATAAAATGATGTGTCTTACCTAGTATGAAGAAGCACCTCCCGCCCTCCCTCAATTGCGTGCACTATCCCCGTCACCACTAATCCCAGCACCGCTACTTCCAACACCACTACACTAGGCAAGACACACCACTGACGATAATACGACACGTGTTTCGCCTCTACACGAGGCATCCTCAGGTGATATAGACTCTACGGTGGCTAACCGCTAATATAAAATTGCTACTTAGCGGTTAGCCACCGTAGAGTCTATATCACCTGAGGATGCCTCGTGTAGAGGCGAAACACGTGTTGTATTATCGTCAGTGGTGTGTCTTGCCTAGTGTAGTGGTGTTGGAAGTAGCGGTGCTGGGATTAGTGGTGACGGTGATAGTGCACGCAATTGAGGGAGGGCGGGAGGTGCTTCTTCATACTAGGTAAGACACATCATTTTATTTTATAACGCGGATATTTGCGAAGTAAATTTTTGTAAAAGCTTTTAAATTAAGAATTATCGAAATCGGTTCAGCCAGAAAAAAGTTATGAGGTAACACATAAAAAACATACAGTTGAATTGAGTACCTCCTCATTTTTGAAGTCGGTAGAAAATGGGTTACTTAGCTTAAGAGCATTTCGGCTCCTTACAACAGACAGGCAGAGTTACCTTTTTCATTTGTTTACTTGTTCGCAGTTAAGAAACAACTAACTGATCTATTCCTCACAGCCAACCTTTAGGCCAGCCATATACATACGGAATTCCATTTCGGGATTCCGTTTCGATATTCCGACTCGGGATTCCAAACGTAGCAAGTCCATATAAAATATGTGACCAATCACACACGTACGGTAGTTTTCCGTTCGAAATTTTGCGGACAAAACGCGACCCCGCATGTATGTGGCCGACCCGTTCGGAATTCCGAAACGGGATTCCGTTTCGATATTTCGATTCGGGATTTCGAACGCAGTAAGTCCATATAAAATCTGTAATGTATATAAAAGCCGGAGAGAACACAAAGAACGTAACGCAATCTATAACAGTTTATTCCACAATGAATTCGCTATGTACGAGTGTCTTAATTTACCCGCCACCTATATAATCAGTCTTAACCTACTACCTTACATTACACTCCTCTACACTTATTTATTACTATGCTAATCTTAAATATAACTTAACTACTTAACATTATTGTATCAGCGCTTAATCAATAATAAGGTTTTTGAGTCTACATTGCCTTATAGGGCGACTCCGAGGCTCTGTGGGCGGTACAACGTTTGGCAAGGTATCCTGATACGCCTGTGAACCCGGGTTCTCACTGGTCGTCTCCCTTGCCGACTCCTTTAAGCCGATTTCAGCCTCTGAGGTTTCTAACACCTCACGGTCATCCTGATCCGCCGACCGACCCGGTTGAGCCTTTCCCACCTCTAGTGTCACCGCTCGTCGGTTGAATTTGTGCTGCAACCTGACTGAGGATCACTGTAAGGACATGTCATAGATGTCCTTAAAAATCTCCTTTTTAATTGGTCTATATGTCTATGAATTATTTCGCCATCTTTTCCCTTAATTGTATAGCTATTAGGACCCCTAACGTCTACTACTTGACCACTGCCCCACTTTTCCCCTTTCAAGTATTGTCTATACTAAACATTTTCCGAAGGATTCAGTTTCCTGTCTCCTCCTTTGGCTAAGTCTTTCTGGTGTCGTTGCACCTTATAAATCCTGTTTTTCTTGTCTGGTTTTAAAATATCTAACTTAGTGCGCAGTCGTCTACCTAACAATAACATTTTTTTTCGCCGATTCTCGCCGGTGGTTGAATGTTTCAAGGTTTTTACCGCGTTCTCAGCTAAACCGTTCGAAGCAGGGTGATACGGAGCCGTGAAAATATGATCGATACCGTGACTGCACATGAAGTTATTGAATTCTATACTTGAGAACGGGGGACCGTTGTCCGTCACGATTTGTTTGCGTAGTCCCCAACGACTGAAAAGTTCCCTTAACTTATCTATTACCCCCGTAGCTGTCGTACTCGCTACTTGATAGATTTCTAGCCATTTTGACATCGCATCGACCCCTACCAAGTACGTTTTTCCAAAAACGGGCCCCATAAAATCTCAATGTATCCTTGACCAAGGACGATTGGGCCATTGCCACATACGAGGCGTCTGTTTTGGCGGAGCATCCGCCTGCGCCGCGCATATCTTGCACTCCCGGCATATCCGCTCCACCGCCTCGTCCACACCGGCCCACCAAACATAGCTTCGAGCTATAGCTTTGGATTTGACAATGCCCATATGAGGTTCGTGAGTCATAGATAAAACTTTTTCCTTACAGGCCTCCGGCACAACTAGTCTATGCCCCCACATCACACAGCCTATTTCCTCATATAATTCATTCTTACGATTCAGAAACGGTCCTTTAATATTACATTCCCCTGGCCAACCATCCCGAATATAGTTAATAACCTTCGACAGAATTGGATCTCGAGCGGTTTGATTTTTAACTTCATTATAATTTAACAACAATGATTGCTGAACGAAATGCAAATACGTTTGCTCGGGCGCTGTATGAGTCATCTTACTAGGCGACAGCGGCAGACGCGACAGGCCGTCCGCTCCATTCACATCGGTACGTATGTACTCAATATCAAACGAATAAGCGGACAAAATAATTGCCCACCGTTGCATCCGACTCGCTACCATAGTTGATATACCTGTGTTAGGTCCAAAAATGGACACTAGCGGCTTGTGATCACTATTTATTTTATTTGCCGTAAAATACATCTCAAGTCTATCGACATACGATGACCACACCCCGGTTTTTACATCGAACTCGTTTACTTTTCCAATCGACATTGTCCTCGAATTAACTTGTACTTTTACTCACAACGATTAAAAACACCATAAAACTACGTTTTAATCCTCGTCGCCAATGTAATGTATATAAAAGCCGGAGAGAACACAAAGAACGTAACGCAATCTATAACAGTTTATTCCACAATGAATTCGCTGTATTATCTTAATTTACCCGCCACCTATATAATCAGTCTTAACCTACTACCTTACATTACAAAATCCATGACCCGTCACACACGTACGGTAGTTTTCGTTCGAAATTTCGGGGGCAAAACGGGATTCCATATGTGTATGGAAGACACGTTCGGAATTCCGAAACGGCATCTTGAAACAGCATTCCGTATGTATGTGGCCGGCCTTATGTACATCAATGTTAGGTTCGCCGGAAGCTGACAAGCTTACGACGCCAGTTGTTACTATTTAATTGACATTTATTTATTCTTATTAAATATCTTACAAATCCAACAAATGACAGTAATTATTTAAGTAATTAGTCAGCCCTTAATTATTCGATAAGCTTGTGAACCAAGGACTGGAAGTAGATAACATGATATAAACTTAATTTAAATCGTAAGTGCAAACAATCTCGTTTTGTGGGTAAGTAGTTAAATAAAATATTTTAACTACCTTACAAACCAATTATTAAATTACCTACCCATCCCACTATCTATAATAATCTAACACGTGGCATCGATCAATGCAGGTGGTTAGGAGATGGAGGACGCGTCTACGGGTGCCTTTATAGGTCCCATAGCGGTAATGCCGAAACAGACCGATTCATCGACCACGTCCAAATGGCTACAGATTCCTTGCTACAACAGGTCCCATCCGCAGAGATCGTGATCCTTGGCGATTTTAACGCCCACCATGCCGAATGGCTCGGTTCACGTTTAACCGATCATGCGGGGAGATCTGTTTATGACTTTGCCTTGGCATATGGTCTGACACAACTGGTTACTTCGCCTACGCGGATTCCAGATGTGGAGGATCATACACCTTCCCTGTTGGACCTTCTGCTGACCTCTCATCCGGACGGGTATCAGGTTTCCGTCGTTCCCTCTCGGCTCTTCGGACCATTGTCTGATCCGGAGTGTGGTGCCACTCACGCTCCCTTCGCGGTTGCGTTCTGCAGGTTGCCGCCGTGTTTGGCATTACAGGTCGGCGGATTGGGACGGAATGCGGTCTTTCTTTGCATCCTACCCATGGGGGCGGGTTTGCTTCTCGCCGGATGATCCCAGCGCTGTTGCTGACTCTGTCACTGATGTGGTGCTACAGGGAATGGAACTATTTATTCCATCATCTGTGGTACCCATTGGAGGCAGATCTCAGCCTTGGTTTGGTCGCTCCTGTAAGACTGCATTACGCAGTAAGCAGGAGTGTTATCAAGCCTGGGCTGCGGCTTCGGCGACTCGGGATGTAAACACCAGCACACTTAAAAAGAAGTATATCTTCGCCTCCAGGTCCCTCAAAAGAGTTAATGTCAAGGCAAAGTCAGAGCACATAGGCAGAATTGGCGAGAAACTAGTTCGCCTTCCTTCGGGAACCCGTGCATTCTGGTCTCTCGCCAAGGCTGTCCAAGGGAATTTCTGTAAGCCATCACTACCATCTCTGCACAGGGAGGACGACTCACTGGCCCAAGACGCCAAAGACAAAGCTGACCTTTTAGGCTCCCTTTTTGCGTCCAACTCGACTCTTGATGACGGGGGAAAACACCGCCGACCATCCCGCGGTGTGAGTGCTCCATGCCGGATGTGCTGCTCTCACAGCGCTCAGTTCGTAAAGCACTTCTCTCCCTGGACATCCAGAAGTCGAGTGGCCTGACGGAATCCCCCCAATTGTGCTGAGGACGTGTGCTCCGGAGTTGGCACCGGTCGTAACGCGTCTTTTCCGGTACTCCTACTCCCAAGGCGTAGTCCAGAATTCATGGAAGACAGCTTTTGTCCATCCGATCCCTAAAAAAGGCGACCACTCATACCCATCCAACTATAGGCCTATCGCCATCACCTCCTTGTTTTCCAAAATAATGGAATCCATTATTAACTGCCAGCTCATGCGGTACCTTGAGGATCACCAGCTGATTAGTGACCGTCAATACGGTTTTCGTCGGGGTCGATCAGCTGGTGATCTTCTGGACTACCTGACCCATAGATGGGCGGAGGCAGTAGAGTCCAAGGGGGAGGCGTTGGCCGTTAGTCTGGACATTGCGAAGGCCTTTGATCGGGTTTGGCACAAAGCGCTTCTTTCGAAGCTTCCTTCCTATGGGCTTCCCGAGAAATTGTGCAATTGGATCACCAGCTTCCTTGCAGATCAGAGCGTCAAGGTCGTTGTAGACGGTGCATGTTCTGACTACAAGCCTATTAACGCTGGTGTTCCACATGGCTGTGTGCTATCACCAACGCTGTTTCTTCTGCATATCAATGATATGTTGCTAACTGGTAACATTCATTGCTATGCGGATAACAGCACTGGTGATCCTCTATACACCGGCCGTGCCAATATTTCTCGGGAAAACGTCGCCGAGTACCGGAACAAACTTGTGTCTGAAGTCGAGTCTTTGCTGAACAAAAAAGAACCCCTTTGTCGTAACTCCTCAGTTTCGAGGCACTCCCTTTCTTGCCTCAGCCAGTATCGGTATCCTCGGAGTCGACATATCGAGTGACGTGCAGTTTCGTGGTCACTTGGAAGAGAAGGCCAAATTGGCCTCTAAAAAGCTTGGCGTGCTCAGCAGAGCGGGACAGTATTTCATGCCGGCACACCGCCTGCAACTTTACAAGGCGCAGGTTCGGCCTCACATGGAATACTGTTCCCATCAAGATGTCTCGCGTATCTACATCATCATGGGGTGTACGATATCCGAGTTTAAAATTAATTTATAGAGGAGTTTTTGTGTCCACGCTTACGTATGCGGCAGAGTGCTGGTACGAGCGTGCAAACATGTACATAGTTCGTAGCGTACTACTGAGATCGCAGCGATCCGCTCTTGTATTGTTAACCAAGGCGTACCGATCCACTAGCACGGCGGCCTTACCGGTGCTGGCTGGCGTTCTCCCTGCTAACCTAGAGGTCATCCGTGCTGGTAGGATGGGTATAGCACGTTTAACCGCGCCCAAAGAGGAGTTGAGCAGACGGAATCGCGATATCTGGACTGAGGTGATAGGCGCCTGGCATGATAGATGGACGTGTGATACAAAAGGACGTGAGCTACATCGATTTTTCCCGGACGTGGCGTTGAGACTCAGTTATACCTGGGTCTCACCGGACTACCAAAACTCTCAGATTCTCACCGGACATGGATGCTTTCGGAAGAGACTGAGCGATATGAAACTGTGTGAAATTAGTATGTGTGAGTGCGGTATGTCGGAGGAGGATGTTCACCATGTTTTATGGGAATGTCCTCTGTATGATGACCTAAGAGTGAAAATGATAGATGGACTAGTTCGTCCGGTTCAGGGACCAGTTTACTACTTGGATCTCGTCAGCGATGTGGTAAACTACGGACTGTTGCGCGAGTTTGCGCATAGGTGGCACGATCGCAGGACAAGGCAGGATGGAAGGCTGGTAGGAGCGCCCGATGACGTAGGCGTCAATGTGTCGTCAGCCCCAGAAGGGGGAGAATGACGTTAAACTGGGACAAGGAATAGATTAAATATTTGTAGGGAGTCAAGAAAGTGTGCGCGGGAAAGAGCCACGTGCAAGTACCGCGCGCATCTCCCGAGATTCGGCCCGTATGACCTGAGGGTCGGTGGGGCCATGGGAGGTGGAGGGTTGTTGTTCCCATCTCTGGGCAGGGGCTCCCCAGTGCCAGCTCCTTCCACTTGACCGCATCCAGCGCAGAGCGGCTCGAATCGTCGACGATCGAGCCCTTTCCGATCGGCTCGATTCATTGGTACTGCGAAGAGATGTTGCATCCCTTTGCATTTTCTTTCGCATCTACCATGGCGAGTGCTCTGAGGAATTGTTCGGATTAATCCCAGCTGCCAAATTTCACGAACGCACATCGCGGCAGAACTCCCGAACCATCCACACCATCTGGATGATTGGCGGTCCACCACTGTGCAATTTAGAAGATGTTTTCTTCCTCGCACGACTTCCTTGTGGAATCGATTACCATCAGCGATTTTTCCGGACCGATACGACTTAGGGACCTTCAAGAAAAGAGCGTACTCCTTTTTAAAAGGCCGGCGACGCATCTGCAATTCCCTCCCTGGTGTTGCAGTTGTTCATGGGCGGCGGTAGTCACTTACCATCAGGTGAGCCGCATGCTCGTTTGCGCACCTCTCCTATAAAAAAAAACTCAAAAGGCACTCGACGCAAGTTACGAAGAGAGGCTCGGGTGTACTTTGCATGATAAAAATACGCAATGAGGATATCCGCAGAACAAAACAGTATCTCTTATCGTCATTTTATTTGTTTTTCGTTGAGTTTTTTTTTCAATTCTGTTAGGAGGCTTTTACAACTTCATCGAATTCCACAGACTCATAATGATGATGATATTGGTCTTGTGATTGACTTAACAATGACTGTGCTGATAGTAAAAAAAATCAAACCGATTCGGGATTAAAATACGTGATGTCAGTACAGTATCAGAGAGTATCGCGAGTTGTATAATTAATTGCTCCATCTCGCTGCCAACTAAAAAGTTTTTAAATGTTCTTTTTCAATACGTCTTTGGCTGCCAACGAAACAATCTGTTCCCTTTGTTTTTTTTTGTTAAAATGCGTTTTAAGTAATAAGGGACCGTATTGTCTACTTTTATCTAAATCGCAGCCATGACAAATTTCAAAACTATAGTTTGCATTTACTTTCGTATTTTTGATCAATTGGTTTAGAATTTGCACGAGATATAT